ATACAATACCATAGGCAGGCCAGTCCTGTTCGACCCGCATATTTTCCCCTTCATGAGTGGCAGTTTGTTCCTCTTCAAAGTTACCCAATTCGTAATTATTTTGTCTTTTGCTTAAGGCGTTTTTTCACTGCTCGCTGAACGTTTCCATATGTGATTGTTTATTCTACAACCGCGAACTGAATAATAATTTCTCTTCGTAATGAACAGCAGTAAGTGGAAGTTATCTACAGTGACCATAGGAAAGCCTTCGACAAGGTGCCCCATAGACGCCCTTTGGTAAAATTGGAAGCTCGCGGCATCCGGCCGCCTCTTTTAGACTTCATCAGGTCCTATCTATCCATCCGATATCATAAAGTCATGGTTGATAAGAGTTACTCGACACCTCACTCGCTCCTGAGTGGAGTACTTCAATGCAAGGTTCTAGGTTCGCTACTCTTCCCATATTTGCATTAAATACATATAGACTGAAATCCAAAAATTGGCAAATTTTTAGCTATGCCGATGACAACAAGTGTGTTAACTCATATGCTGAGGACACCGCAAATGTTTGCGTTGAAAAAAACAACGCGATTTACTACGCTTATGCTGATGGAGTTTAGCAAGACAAATGGAGTTTTCATTGCCCAGGTGCAGTTTCATGTCATGTGGTCCTGCCAAGTTCGCTGGCCGCATAATTTTTCAGAAAAATTCACCCTCACAATGCTTCAGCATAAACGACTTGCTTTATCACCTCATGCGGATAGGATCTTTGCCAAAGCTGCAGAAATACATGGGTTGACATCGCGCAGATTCCCCCTTCCGGACATGAAGCTGAGACTTTATTAAATGTTTGTTCTTCCTTTCCTCGAATATTCTTGTCCTTTCTTTGGTTTAATGAACGCCTGTGACCGTAAAAAAATTAAAAATATTCAGGGGTTTCGACTAAAAAACTCTTCTCTCAGGCTGCATCCAGTACTTCTTATACTCAGAAATGTCATCTGGCAAACACTGAGCTGCTATGAATCAGAAAATTCGAAACTTGGCTTTGCTTCCTATTTTGAATTAGCTCTAGCCCCAATCTACCGCGCATCGACGCTATCACCCTGATCGGTCGTATGCCACACGTAACTCCTCCATTGTGATTTTGTCGCCTATTTGCCCCAAATCTAAACACCTCCTCTTGCTGGCATCCAAGTATGCCTTTATTTTGTTCTTTCACCACAACCTAGGCGATTAGCTAAGTTGTCGACATTCAAAAAGAAATTGCGTAAGCACCTTACAGCGGAAAGTATAAAGTCATTATTGACTGTTTCATTCCCGAAATCCAAACTTCTTGACTTTGAAAAGCGTTCCCGTGGCATTTAAAGGATATTTAAGTGGAAACCCTCATCTGTACTTCCACAACCCCCTGTTTTTAATTGACCACTAAATCCACTGTTATTACGCATACCCTAGCGATGGCTTTTGCGGTTCTTTATGTCATCTCATTTCGACCTCAAGCGGTCTGTCGGCGGTCACGGCGGAATTCTCTGTATTAGCCACCTGCTAGTGATTTTGGCGGTCTGGAAAGAAATGCCATGATCTTGCTCCCTTGCACCCTTCTCGTTTGGCCTCGAAACGGGCTGTGATATATCGTGTCTGGGTTCTTCTCCTCTCGCCACTTTGACGCAAATAGCCTCATCCGGTGTATGAATTCTGCCTTGACGATGTCCGTATCAAATTTCTTATTCATTACCGAATGCATGCCAGTCCTGCAGGTACTCTTATCTCTTCATTAGTGACATTTTTTTCCTTTAAATTTAATCCGGTCATATTCATTTTGTTTATTAGATTCTGATGTTTTTCACAGATCTCTAATCAGTCTTCTGATCAGACTGCTTATTCAATAATCATGAATTGAATACTCTGGAGATTCTCTCTGCATATTCTTAAATGCATATGAAAAATTATTTTTACTTGCTAGGATAGGACCCCCAAGGTTCACAAATAAAGCTACTTATTTATTTATACACTCTTTCCTGTCGCACGGTCCTATTCGACCAGCATACTTACCTCGCAACGAGCGGCAGTTTTTTTTCTGCACACAGCCATACTTGCATACATAAACCTAGGTGCCGAGAATCGAGGGAGCAGAATGTTGGGTAAAGCTTATAGAAAAGCAGGCACGCAAAATAGCATAAGCTATTTTCGCGTCTCCTACGGATTTCTAAGAGCTCCTGGAGGGGTAGATGATGAGTTCTTCCATGAACTCTATTTATGCAAGAAGTTACATAATAATTAAATGAGTAAGTTCTTGCAAAACCTACCTCATCGGCCAGCCGTTTATCTCCGGACAACCTTTTAGCTCATTACCAAGTGCGGCGTATTAAGGGTTACGTTGAAAAGTTATCATGCAAACGGTAGAAGTTGGACTTTCTGCACGTTAAGACGCAAGGATGAGGGATAAAGCTACTAAACATGACGGGAGTTATCTTCTTAACTGCAGCAGAGCCAAATATCAGTGGTTTCAAAACTTCCTAAAATTTTGCAATGCAAAAACTTGTATTCAAGCTAAATGGTGGCCCCTTACAAATGTCAGTCTTTCTCCCGAATCTGAGATAAGGTCCGACCATGTCAATAGACAACTCTCCACCGGAAGTATAGCATACTTTGTCACCCTCTTCTGACTCCCTTTAGGCCGTTCAGCCTACTCAAGTAGCCAAACTGCTTACAGGTGTGCATGGCTTCGCCAAACCGCCACTTGCCTTATTTCCAACATTCTTAAGACCTCCTGAATCTTTTATGTCGAACATGAAGTCGAAGGTTTCGAAGTTTGCACAAGGCATATCTTGTTTTCGAAAACACGCAAAGCCCTTATCCCGGAACCTGCCAAGGTCATATGTCCGGCATGTTCATCCTGCTTCATCTCGTTCCAGCACATCCTTCCCAAGCAGGTATAAAACGAACTTTAGCGCCAAAGCCCGTCGTTTCGTATCCTTCTGTTCCTTCGTCAACCAGCAGAGATGAAAAGGTTTAGCTCAAAAGTCACTGCGACCAACCGTGCTGGCGGTTCCAGCGGTGGTTGGCCCTCTACTTCTGCAACAACCTGAATGGCAGACGTTTCCTGGTTGACAGCAGTCCTCAGGAAGGCGTCATCATCCCTGCAGGAGCCGACCGCCTATCCTTTAATTTCACTCACAATCTTCACATTCATTATCCGTCCCACCGCCTTCCTGGAATGCCTCTGGCGTCTCTTTTCATAAGTTTTCGTCGCTGCCGACTCTTTATCGTTTTCGCCCTTTTGATCTACTGCGAATAAAACCATATACACGACCAGATCACCATTCTCATCACCCGAGGCATACCTTCATCTCGAGCTTCATATAAAATTGCCATTAGGGACACTGACTTTGTTCATTTCTACGGCTTCTCGTTAAGTACACCAACCTCATCCGTCTCAACTTCACTGCCTTCGTGGCAATCTACCTTCGCGATCGCCGGCGCGGTGCTTACTCACACTACCTCTTCACCAACCTAAAGTTTCTTGTCAATTCGCTACTGAAACTCCGCATGACGTTGCACCAGCGTGTAGTGTTCGAGGTAGATCAAAGCTGTGTTCCTCACTGACTAGCTGTGGTCGAAAAAACTTAAGCGTTATAGCAAAAATAATTCTATTTTTACGAATTTAGAGGATACTCTAAACAAGACTGATACTTAGTCAATTGGGAAAATACGGAAGATGTAGAAAATAATGGTCTGTGTGGGTGACGACACGTGCAAAATACTTTGGAAATCGTGTTACACACAAAGGAAAGAGTTTTGACGTTTGACAACGACTTTTCCCATTGTCAAAGGCACTTTTAGTAATGATAACTACAAATGCTAACTGAAAGTTTTTGGAAGAAATGGTGAGCTGAGCACGAAGGCGTAAAAATCCTTTGGTATTGAAAGGTAGGGGAGAGGATAAGGACCCAAAGTTTTAAATAGATTTTGATGGAAAAAGCGCTTTACGAAGGAATGAGGACGAGCAGGGTTGTTTCTTCCCGAGGGTAGGATAAAACTACAAAGGTAAATAGGTAAGTGAGAACAAAGCATCAATACAGTGCGCATACGTATGCTAAAATGAGGCAAACCGTGGTCGAGAGCGACATCCCAGTTGCCAGAACGGGATCCGAGTAGGATGAGCAGTGGGCGAAACGAGAGGGTTTAGAACGGGCGTTTCAATAAGACCCACACTATTCCTTCCGAGAAGTTCAATGTTCAGTGTATTTGAGGGAAATAGGCCCTTGTCTTCGAGCTCTCTATTTTATCAATCAAAAGAATTAGCAGTAGTGTAAGGAAATTAAACTATCAGAGGGAACAGACTTAGGTTTACACAAGTGCGTTTGTTTTTGCGGTCACGAAGTCACGCAGTCCACCTGTTGCTACAGCATGTGACTGTCAAGTCGATGTCTAAATGTCTCCAGAGACTCAGATATTACAATTGTATCGGACGGGTTTGCCATGGTTTAACTACACGGTTTATGATCAAATGCCTTCCCACCTCCATTCTTAAAGGGACATGCGGAGTTAGGTTGTAGTGGCGATTTTGAAAAGTATTCCAAGCTAGAGGCCACAGTCCAAATCACGCACGATACGGAAAGATCCTACCAATTTACGTGGGCTTGCCTTTAACTCGGTGGGCAGCGATTTACGTGAGTTAGGCTCTTCTCGTGTGGCAGTGTTTCTTCATCTCTTATCGGTTTTTTGTGTTGTCTCCAAACTTTCTAGAGGAGGTTTTAGTCCTTTTGCGTCCAGGGCTTCCAGGTTTGGATTGTATATTTAAGATCCGGCCTCACAAGCATATTAAAGATTTTGAAGAAGCAGTCTAATTCGGAAACTGAGAATTTCCGCTTGATGGCATCGCATTTGAGAGCTTAACCTTCTTAAACAGTTCGTAGAAGGCGTTAGGTTGTTCGTTATTTAAACGCCGAAATCCTTTTTTGTTTTGACCCCTCGGAGTGGTGGGCGCACATAGCAGGGGTGAGGTTTCGAGTTCCGAGATGCAGCGCGATGCTTCCGTTTATTTGAATGGCAGGAGCCACCTGGGGTAACACGCTTATAATCAACAAGGGTTTTCTTGTAAGTCCGCTAGGGTGGCATCACACTGAGCGACCTTCCAAATTTTTGCATCATCCATATCTTTGGCACACCCAGTCTAATTCTTGTACACGACCGTTAGTGGAAGACAGCCGACCTCTTCCCATTACATAAAGGAGGTAACAGGAAGGCAGCCAGCAACCCGACTTGCCTCTCATACGAAACGATGGGAGTTCTTGCAAAGAATGCTATGAAGCAAGTCCATGTGGAAAACAAATTCTTGCAGAAATTTCAGCACGGTTTCCGGAGAAGACGTTCTTGCCTATAAAATCTGCTGATTTGGCCGGAGATATGAAATAGGGCTTTAGAGGAGGGCTTTGCGGTCGATGTCGCGTACATCGATTTCCACAAAGCATTCGACAATGTCTCGCACAAACACCTTCTTCATAAATTGAGTAGCCTCGACACCAGGGGAGATCATCTGAACTCGATAAGGCGTTTCTAGTTGGTCGAAGATAGCGTGTCTGTATCGGAGATGCTATGCAAGACGGAGCGAACGTGACAAGTGGTGTGCCTGAAGGCTTAGTTCTCAGACCCTTACTATTAGTCCTTTAGATTAATGACAGTCTTCATGCACTCGACTGCGGCAAAGTTATATTCGCCGACGACGCTAAGCTCTGGGAAATAATTAAGGGTCCCAGTGATCGAAAATTCCTTCAAAATAATCTGCACCGATAGAAAATGCGGTCCGAGGTTTGGCTTCTAGATTTCAGTGTGCAGAATTGTGCGTCCAGCTAACTGTCATTCAAATGACAGCCTAAGAACATGTCGCCTGGTCCAAGACTGATAATGGCTCACCCAGTTCTCGGGCATGTCCAAATATAAATTCTGCCTTTATCCCGTCCAGACCATAAAATTTGCATTTCTTCGAGTTTTGCTAGTTCTTCAAAAACTGCTTTTTATCGAAATAGAATATTTTCAATAGCCGACGCTTTGCTGTTGTTCTATCCAGACGGAATGAACTCCTCTTTCCCTGTTAAACAGACTGGGTGAAGTATTAATAAGGCTCAGTTTTGTTTGCATTGTCAAATATCCAGAGACCCTCCTCATCCCTCATAACAAGCATGGGGTCCCTGCTAAGTGCATTTTTCGCGAGCACTTGTAGAGCCAGTTAGATTTGCTGACTGCTTAGTAAAGCAAATTACTCTCAAAATTCCACTGTCTTTTAAAAAAAGCAGGCTTTTAAACGCGTTACTTTTGATCCTTCAAAGGATTGCGTTCGTTGTTTCTGCAAAACTTCGTCCACTGCCTCCCTTTCATTTTTATCTCTTTTTCGGTATTACTAGCTGGGCCCGGCCTCGCGTTGCCATGGCTCAGTTTCATGAAATGAGGAAAAAGGAAAGAGAAAAGAGCATGCTTCTAATACGTTTAGTTTTATAATGCCTGTGTGTGTAAAACATTTTTGCTGCTCCATTTTCTGTGCAGGTATAGAGATTGTCTGGTTTGTCGACTTTGGAGCACCCAAAGTACAGTTGGCCACGTGAGAAGCAATCCGCTTGCAATCAAAACAGCACAATTCTAGAGACTGGCCTTAAGGTATGATGATTATTATGATGATGATGATGATGATGATGATGATGATGATGATGATGATGATGATGATGATGATGATGATGATGATGATGATGATGATGATGATGATGATTGGAAACGCCAATCGAGCCGAGAATTGCAGTCGTCTCTATTGAAATAACAAGTCTGTTGTAATCAGTGGAATGCGAGGAATAAGGACATGTTCACCTTTGAAAGGTCCTGTCAATGTAATTGCTTCCACGACGTCCCTCAGTAATTTTTTCTGAAAATCGCGTGTGGTTGCAAAGCGTCGGCTAGTTGCTACTTCGCGAAATGATAATCAGCACGCCGATTTTCAATTGCAGTACGTGCGGCAACATTCCTGGCAGATCAAGGGAATCCGAAAATTCTGTTGTATAATTAACTGCCTCGTCTGCTTCCAAGTCAGCGACGACGGAGGCGTATGTGTCATCCACGTCTGCCAAGCCTTGAATCCTAGCCTGAATAATATGTTTAAGCCGATAGACATCTTTGCTTTTGGCCGCAAGAATAGCTCGTTTGCTCAGTCAATCCTGATTCGTACAGTAGTCTGAATACTGTGAAACACCTTTTCAACCAAATCTTCTCTTGACGGCAGTAAATTGTCGAAAGTAAGAGGTCCTGAAATGTGTCCCGAAGTAGGATCAACTGGCACCGTCCCATTCCCAATAGCCAGCAATTTGTGTGATAGTATCTCAGCTGGTCGGTCGTTTTGCAGCTGCACACGCATATTTCGTAGTTAATTTCACCATCTGGACATGGCGCCACAAAGAAGAGCATCTCAGTCAGGAATATTACAGACGGTGTGTGCCTAAATTCTCCTGCAAGAAGCAGCAATGTGTCTCCAAAGAGTCTGCTGTTTCCGCGCAAACCTTGCAAAGATCGATCAGGGACCTCGAGCGCTTTCTTGTTCGCCATTGTACATTCATCCCAGACAATAGGTTTGCATTTCTGTAGTAATTTTCTTAAGCAGGATGCCTTGGAAGAAATGCAAGAAATGCACGTTCTGTGGCAGTTTAAAAGCGGAATGAGCAGTTCTTCTGCCGGGTAGCAAGGTCGCAGCTATTCCGGACGACGCAAGAGCTAAGATTATGCCAAATTTGGATCAAATTGCCGCCGGAATCAGTCTTATTAGGAACGTTTTGCCAGTCGCTTTCCATCGCATTCAAGAGGAAGGTTCCTCGAACCCTGTTATTGACAGTCCGCATTATTTGATTGTAAATGTCACTCTGCTTCGGTGTAAGCTTAGGAATCTTTGGTTGCAGATACAACGTAAGGTCGACCGTGTTGTAGTTTTGCTAACGGCGAAAATTCGTACCTAAAAAGCAGCAACAGTTCAGTTTGGCAATGACACTCCCAGTTGATTGAGAACTTTGTTCGTGATTTCCCCGCACATATCCTCAATCATTATTATTTCAGCTGTGGATTTCGCTGAAGGGTTCACTGAGGTTTCATATTGAATAAAATAACACAAGAAACTATATGTGACATTGTTAAATCCCTACTTTCTGGAACAATAGCTACTGGAAATCACGATATGGTTTTCAAAAATAACGTAATTGCAAAAATCATATGCATAAGGTTCATGAACTCTTGGTAATAGTAGCCCCCCCCCGTCTCAAAAGACTAGGGGTGGTTAGGCAGGGGTAGCGCTCACAGGGACATGGCTATGGAGGCTATGGATGCACGTGTGTATGACGAAATACTTCGATAGACTACCAGTAACAGTAGGCCGAACCTCGGAATTTTCACTTATACAATTTATGTCTAATAATGAAATATGTTTTCGCTAACAAATAGACAAGTGACATTTTTTAATCGGTGACAAAATAAGACGTCGGGAATAAAGTTTTCTCTTAACCACAAGGCCACGCGGAGTGGAATGTACGACAATATAGTGTTCTTACCGGTTGATAAGTCGAAAATAACATTGGTCACGAATCGAGCTCCGGAACTCGACGCAGTCTCTCGAATAAAAACACACGTGCCTGGTGAGGCGGATTTCTGCTCCTGCTTGCTGAACGCGCTTGACGTAGTAAAAGCCCATCCAATAACCCTGTCTTCCGTGTCTTTCTCCTTGTGAGGCATCGAGCTGTCGATCATCGTACCTCGACACCTCCAATCCGTAACACGACAGTCCATTATATCTGAGCGAATAGGCCACAAGCATTTTCTCGACAGCGCCGTCTCGCTCATGCCCAGCCGGCTGCAGTCAAGGCCGAATTCAAGCATATCCTTCTGATGGACCTCATGCTCCCACCCCACAGTTCCCAAGGCCGTCAAACGGGACTGGTGCCCCTCCGGTGATTGAAGGGCCTTGAACAACGTTACCATTCCGGACCATTATCCTGACCCGCTTCCCATGACTTTAATGGAACCTTGTTCGGTAAGTCTGCCTTCTCAATTCAATTCAATTCAATTATTTTATTAAAGACCCGTCGGGGTCCCATCAAAGCAAGTAAAAATAAATTTACATGCAAATTTTAGACGATGTAGGCAAAATCTGCACAAAGTGCAATGCATAGTTTTTGAGATTAGAAGTCCGTTAAGCAAAATGAAAATGAAAAAAAAATGAGGGG